TAATACCGATCCGGGGTTTAATACCGATCCGGGGGGCGTCACGTTTCCGGGAGACGGTACGGATCCGTTTAATACCGATCCGGGGAGCAAAGGAGTGCAGCAGTTTGGATTGCCGCGGGGCGTGTGTAAGGACGCCGACCAACCGAATTGACGGGCGACGTTATCGTACAATGCCTGCACGCTCGTTTCGCGCGCGTCCAGCCAACGCTTCGTGGCCACGGCGTGATCGTGGGCCGCACGCGCGTCGGCAATTTGCGGCCGGTTTTCGCGGGACCGCAGCACCGCGGCCATTTCGCTCGACAACATCGTTAGGTCAGCGTTCAATGCCACCGGATCGAGTTCTCCAGCTACGATCATCGTAACCGCCCTGTCCCGGAATTCGTCCAAAAACGTCCCGATGTTCACGCAAAACAAGTCCAAGTTCTCCTCGTGCTGTCGCAATTCCGATTGGTCGTCGTCGCTGGCGGTGTCCCACGAAGAGCAGCGCGGGCTGCTGTCCGCATCAACGCCGGTTCGACGCTTTCGGGGCGAATCCGTCCCGCCGCTTGAACTTCTTTTCATTTATCTGCGTAAATACAACAATGCAATTTCAAGGCAATGGTGGGCTACAGCCAGTTATCGAAAACATATTATAACTTATAACACGATCGTGTTTTAAGTTAAATAAACTAAAAGAAAACCTTCTGTAAAAACTTAAAAAATTAATAAAAAAAAAAAATTTAAACAAATTTAATGTACCCCGAGTATATGATTTTATATTGTTATCTATAGTTATGCATAATATTGCTTTTTTTCATCAATATTCCAAATTATTTATTCGCAATGTTCAATCGATAACCCGATGATGGCGCAAAGCCGAAACTTAAAGTACTTACGAAATACATTTGTACGCGCCTTTGTATTATATTTGTAACATTTTATTGATGTTTTTCAAGTTTTTCGCATAAACGCATAACGCAATGATTTATTTTGTGTTTTTCGTGAATCCCGTTTAAATTTAATGAAAAAATAGTAGAAAATCCGCTACTGATATAATTTTAGAGTCCTTGGTGCATAAAAAATAATAATTCAAGTATATATAACTAAATAACTATAACTCATCATCACTTTGTTATTTTTATCTGTACCTAACAATAATAAGCTAATGCTAATAAAAAACCGAGCCCTTGACCACGTACAGGTATGTAACGATTAAACGTCGTAATTCATTAATTATATTTTTGTAATCCAATTATTTTTGTAAATATCAATTTAAACGTTTCGGTTTCTGATATTTTTAGAACATATTATAAATTCCTATAATATAACAGTAAACAGAATATTCATTTTATATTTTGCATTCCAATCGACACAACGGTATTCGTGTATTATACTATTATACAGAGCGATTCATTTATTACGGACCAGTGATTTTCTCAGAGGATTTTAAGTGAATTTGATTTTATGTTTTTTTTTTTCCAATCACTAACACATCACTTAAGCTATTCTTTTTCAATTCTTTACCCCTCTACTTCTCATATCTTTGATTTTTAAATGGGAACCTCGCATTTTAAACACAGATTCGAATAGAACATATTTTTCTAAAAAAACGTCGATAATATGCAAGTACAACCAATAATATCGGATTTGTACGTTCATCAGTCTTTTAACGGTTTAAAATTTAGATCCGAGGAGCAGGGATGGATAACAAACTTCAAATCCGTTTTTAGACGGCAAATTAAACACCTTTTCTTACAACCGTCCGGTCTAAACTTTAAAATATTATAAACGTATACGACTCCGATGTACGGCCAATCCGTTATTTATAATATAGCGTTATGCGTATCGACACTTTTTATTTTTATAGACGAGCATATTATTATCCGTTCAAATCCGCGTTTAAATAACGAGAGGGGGCGTTCCAATTTTGAAAATCGAAATTGTTTTAACTCGTTCGGAAGTGTCCGGTATTCGGGGGGGTGAAACACGTAAACGGTTTGAAACGGTGTCAACATAATGTCGTAACGGTTCCGTAAAACGATCGAAAAACATATGTAGACGGGATCACTGTGCACGCCAATTTATCGTATAAAAACAAAAACAATATTCTCTAACGAACAGCATCCGGCTATCCATCGTGTAAACACAACAGTTGACGGGTTGACGATCGGGGGGAGGGAGGGAAACTATAAAAATAACGTAGTTAATATTATAATTACCTGTTGGACTGCGATGACGACGCGCACGCGAAAAACTCGAACACCGTCGAGTAATGTCCGTTGGTTCGCCGGGCACCCAGACCCTATAAAGGTCGCCGCCACACACGGTCCGGTCGGCCAGTCAGTTATGCCTGCACAGGCGGCCGGAGACCGGCCGGCCGTTGCGTCTGCGGGTTCCGGTCGCCTGAACCACGAAAGTTATACCCGTACAGGTCGCCGGACAAAATAAGAAAACTCGTTCGTCCATCCGGCTCCGGTTTTTACTATCCCGCGATTATTATTTTCCGGTGGAATGCCTTTCCTGATGAAAAATTTCCTTTGTGTTATCATTTCTTACACCTTTCCAGTATTTATTATTTCCTCCAGCAAACTATGGTCCGGTGCATTTTTTTCCTTGTGTTTTACAGCCCCCCCCCTCGCCACCTCCTATAACAATTGCATACGCGAGGCGATGTCTAACCTCAATGACGGCACATAATCTGATGCTACGGGTTTAACGAACTACTGCATGTGGATAGCTCGAGTAGGGCGATTCCAGTAGACGTAATATGGTATTTTGTGTCCGTGTCATAGGGTGGGGAAATACAAAAATTATATCCTCTTCATAAACTATCGGAAGGGGGTAAAAATCAAATAGATAAATTTGACGGGGGGGGGAGGGAGGTGGTAAAATCTCAATAGGCAAATTAGACCGGGGACTAATGCTAATATTTTACCCAGGTGATACATTTTTCAGAAATGTATCTCGTTTGCATATTCTCCAAGACTCGTATAGGGAAAATACTGTGTGTGTTTTTTTTCAGACAATTTTCCAGGATCTCGATGCCCGGTCGTTGTAAAAAGAAACACAAAAGGATTATTCGTAAATCCATTTCGTTTGGATTTTTTTTCTAGGAGAGGAACTCGGAACACGGTATTGTCGCACGACATTAATTATATCGAATATACGTAGTTCGCATTCCGGGTTGTCGAGGATCAAAAAATACACGTAGTCTTTACAAAAAAAA